GTCACAAATCCGTGTTTTTTCTCCTGCAGCCTGATTCACAGTCTACTGAAGACAACAGAAGTCCAACACATGCTGTTCAGCAGAAAAAGATTATCCCTCATATTATTCCTGTTTGGATCCCCTCGTTCTGCTCCAGCAAAACTGCCCTGGAAATTGGCAGGAAAGCTGTCTGCAGTAAAGACAGCAAGGTCTGACTTCAGGAGAGCATCTCCCCTTCCTCTGCTAACAGTGTCCCCACACTATTTTGAGGCGACCGCCACCAGCACGAACAAGAAGAAAGCCAAGTTTATGGAGCTGCCTACCAACAAACCCGTGCCAGACTCACACTTTGTGTTTGTTTCCAACGACGGGCACGGGTTCTGCTACTAATGCAACTGTTTCCCCGACCTTTCCCTCTAAGCAGAGGTTTCACTGAGCCAGAACTTCTATACGCCCTACAGAAGGCTCACACAATGGGCAGCTTTCATCTTACTTTGCTCTGAGCAGTGGGCAAGTCACAAGATCAGAGCTGGCCATCCGTGGGCAGCCTCCGAAGGTGGACAGGCACGAAGGGAAGGCTGGCACAAGAAGCAGCATTCTGGGCAGCAGGTAAAGAAAAGGGCATTGTTGTCTGAGAGCTGGGAGAGCAGCACCCACCCAAACGAACTGCCAGAGTCAGCGAGCAGTGCTGCGTGCTTCACAAATTGTTCACCCTGCTGACAAAACAGGGAAAAGCTTACGAGTGAAAACAATCTCCACAGACAGAGCAGCACTGCGTGAGGCGCTCTGGAAATCAGTTCTGCTCGGGAGAGTGGAAAAGGTAAACACGCATCCGTCCCATTTTTGCCCAGTCCCACCAGTGGCATTGAGTTCAGCAGTTAGTACTGTAATTAGTAAATGCCACTGATACCCCACGAGAAGGCAGTCTCAATGACCCTGCTTTGAGGTCTGGATCGGCATGAAGAGGAGCAAATGGTTTAGTTCTTCAGGAACTGCCCTACCTTATCTATCACACCCGAGCATTGATGTCTTTTGGTGCCAGAGAAATCTCCCCAGGTTCCCAAGCAGATAGGGGGGACTAGCAGAGGAAGCAAACGAAAAAAAGGATCTGTTTGCAGACGAGTATTACAAATAAGGGAGAACAGTGAAAAGACAAATTCTACAATCTGAAGTTGAAAAATTCTACAATATTTTGCATTGTTTTCAAGGAGGCAGCAGCTTCTCTTTTCAGTCAAGAAGTTAATAGATTACTGGGCAGTGAATAATGTGCAGTTCTGTTTACATCCACTGTTTGGACTATTTTGGTCCTTCCGATAGCATTATCTGTTCTCGGGCCTTCCTAAAAGCAGCATGCTACACCCTTTTGCAAGCAATTCTGGAGAGCAGCTACAACCAGTATGCTTCAGTCAGCTACAAACTAGACAGATCATTGTTTGTCTGGAATTTTTTTATTAAACCCATTGTACTGGATCAATGCTTCCTCTAAGCCATAAATTACAATTCTATCTATCTAGTGAAAAAGCTTTCAAAGTTGCAGATAAATCTCGATGTAGGAAATACAGTTTGGCTCTGCCCCCATGTGCGATCAACCACAGATGCAAATAAGCTCAAGCTGCCAGCACATACATCTGCACCTCAGAAGAGGAGCTAGTATTCTCATTTTCATTAGAATTTGCTAAGACACTTTTTAAGTGCTTCTAGAACTAGTCCACTGCATTAGTCATGAGTACTCAGGGGCACTGAGTTTGGTTTTTATAAAGGTCATTTGCTGTCTTTTCCCCTCACAATGGACTAAAAGCAGAAATCAACAGAGCCTTAATCTATATTAATTTGCCTTACTCTTGGAAGGTCATAGATTTGCCGCCGGAATTAGCCATATTGGATGCTAAAATGATAATTTAATGAGACTATGATGAAAGCCTCTGTTCTATTCTAAACCAGGAACTCCTCTCAGACAGCGCGAAGGAGAAGCAACTCCATGAAGTCAGAGGAATTACACCAATGTCATTTCGCAGCAGAATCGAGCTCCAGTAAATAGGGCTGAAGTGTTTCATTTAAAACTTCACCTCTCAAGCTGTACTGAGACAGAAGTCATGAGGGCTGGGGCTCTACAAAAACACCTGGAGACACACCTCACTCTCAAGGGTGAAACTGGTTTCTCCAAAAAGACAGAAAAGAAGATCTGGGTCTAAATATTTATTAACTTGAAACTTGTACACCAAATGCTGCTGCACAGCTCTGGTGACAGCAAAGTGCAGGATAGCAGAGACCCATGCCTCTTACAAGATCCTAACGCTCCAGAATCTGCACCCATCTACAACAAGGAGCAATCACACATTGCACTGCATAATTTGCAAAGCAGAAAACAGAGTCCTTTGGGTCAAGGATATAGCTCTTGCAAATATTTTGATAATATCTGCTCTTTGGTGCAATCTGCTGCATTTCAGAGGTCAAAAAATGTTATTCATATTCCTGTGAGTTGTTTCCAAGACAGATGCTTTAGTAGCACGCAGAGACGGAGGGAATAAAAAACCCGAACAGAATCTGGGAAAGCTCCCACTCTTCTCTTTCAAGGCAGCCATTGTTCATAGGTCATTTTTCATGGAAGCCCACGCACTTTCTCTAAGTGGCACTCAAACAGATACGCTGCAAGTGACCTCGAAAGAGGGGTGAACAAAGTTCCCCAGAAAATACACATCCTGACCATACAGTAGTGCATCCAACTCCTCCTGGTCTCTCCAGATGTCTCTCTGTAGGATCAATACCACTGCCCCATCCGATGTCGCTATATAGCAGTAGGGAGAAAGCACATATGTGTGTGCTGGGCTTCTAGCATCGATTCAGAAGAAACACAAAGTGGCGAGATATCAGCCTACCTGGAATCTGACCCCAAGCAGAGTGTGCCTTGCACCAGGGTACAGAGATCCAACACACTGTGCTTTCTATGCACAAATGCAAAGCTATGTTAGAGGAGGATTTTATTATTAATGCTAACGAATCATACATAGATACGAACACTTGAGTGTTAGCAGACTCTGTGCGATCAGGAGTCTGCTAACATCTGGGAGTCGAAGCTTGCCCGCATATTTCACACCTTTGTGTAGGGCCAGGAGTGGCCAAGTACCCCAGCAATAAAAGCTTACCTCACAATTTACTGTGCCACTTTAAGGAATAAGCACTGGCTCACTAGGATCTTAAAAAAATAAACTCTTAGGGCCATCTCACCTTGGGCAAGGTGGTTCCCTCAGCTCCTGCGACAGTCCTTTTACTGAAGTTTGCCAGTCTGGTTCTGTGCTGAAAACTTAGTCATAAAGACGGAAGGGAATAAATCCACTATACAGATACACAAAAGACAGGCAAACTGAACGTTACTTTGCATATATCCAAATACAATCAAGAGACTAAATCCATAATTCCTTGAGGGTGCGACGCACAGAGAACACCTCGCTAGAATAACCCAGGGAAGCACAGTAGTTAGTTTTTGACTCCAGACTTGTGGCAAATAATGCAAAGATCTGCAGCCAAGAGTATGAAATTGGTGGTGTTCTTTTTAAAGCTAATCACTCACACATTTCACTGTGTTGGTGAGGTGTTACTTGCTCAGTCACAACTGGGAGGCAGTTTTATACTCTTCCCAATCAGGGTTTGCATAAGATCGTGCTTGCAAGGACTACGTATCATGCTGTAGCTACTGGAAACCCTCATATGCTCGGTCAGCTGTGCGCTTGGGACACTTGAATGCACTGAATTTAAACGACAGTGCAGCCTTCCAATTCACGTAGCCTTCTAATAACATTTGTTAATCCAAGCAAATATCAAGGAATCTGTTCAGTGCCAGTGCTGAATTTTCCAAGCGTGCGGACTGCTTGCTAAATCTCTAAAAGGTAGTGCCAAGAGGGTTCTGTCGCTTCTGTCTTTGGGCACCCAAATCCACCCTGGAACTCCTTCCTGCAATTATCTTGCTCACTGTATTTTAGAGAATAATGCAAGGTTTCTTGAAGAGTCCAAGAACTTAATAAAATCATGTAGTTTGTAGAGTTTGAATAACGTGCTTCTACTGCGTGTTTTTAAATGTGAGATGTAAGCCAGTTGTAATGAAAGCTGAAGCAATAAACCTTAGCCATTGATTGCACTAAGTAATTAATTATTGATTGCAGTACTTTACATACATATTGCAGAGGACAATTCACCTGTGCAGTAGGCAATACTTTACTTTACACAACCCTTCTGCTACACAGAACCACACAAAAATCGGCTCTAGGGTTTACAAATTAATTTCCTTATTAACCTTCACAGAAAGGTTCCTGCCTGAGTGAAAGCAAACCATTACTTTCATAAAGACAATGTTAACTATTCGCTGCCCAAATTAATTTTGCAAATAAGGATCTACAGATGCAAAAGAAAAAGATCTTTCTCTGTAAGACTCTGAAAGTGTTAAGTTCTTTCTTAATGAATGCTGCTATCCCCTGCACATCCCAATTCCCGACAAGCAATGCTGCAGTAAGAAGCCGTACAGAACAGCAACGGTAGCAACATCCTTCCCCAACTCTTGGGGAAGGAGGAGGGAGAGGACTTTAAGGTACAAAACCGGGAACTCAACCATTAATCAGGCAGACCATTCGTTCTGAACTGGAGATGTAGGACTAGTTAAGCGGCAGACACCACGCTCTAGTCTAGAGTTGTGCATCAGGTGGGAACATTTTTGCCCATTTACTCTGAACTTACGGAGAGGCTTTCCCTTATAAAAAGCCAAAGCGAAAGATATTTGTTGGTTTAAAAACACAATTTAAAATTAATAATAGTGAGGGGATGCTAAAATGAAGCTTAAATATCAATGAAACCTGCAGATTGTTTGACTGGAGCAGATCTCGGACGTGTCCTCCAGCTCCTCTCACTAGGAAATTACCCAGGAAAGTTCTGTCTGGGTGTGTGCGCTGTGCGGAAAGGTCTGAGCTGGACATTGGTAGGGGAGGGGGCAGGCCAGCTAGTTTGGAGTGGGCCAGGGAGGGGGGGGATTGTACCTGAAGTCGCTGTAGGGATGGATGATCCAGAACCCGGCAGACTTAACCCTTTCCTGCTCCCTCTCCACGGCCTTCTGGCTGCCAAACATCCTCAAGGAGAATTTGTTGACCCCCGGCTGGAGCATGGCCCCGAACTGCCTCTGCATGAAACCGGCTTGGCCCAGCCTCTGCTCCTCATCTGGGGTGATCTGGTCGCACCCTCCACCTCCTTCCACTTTGATGGAGGTAGAGGAGCAAGCCCGGGGGGGCTGCTGCTGGGGCTCCGGCGGGGATGCTGGTGGTGCGGGCG